CAATATTGGTATAACTTTTATCCTGTACTATTCTGTATTCTACACATAATTAAAACAACGAGTTATGTACGTTTACATGTTTTTGCTTTTACAAGAAATGTGATAGTAAACGTATATACTTTGAATCTCCCTTAAGTAAGTTTTATAATAGGCTTTGGAAAACCATCCCAAAATTCTGACGATGATGACGTACATAGGTGCTTTGTTGTCCCCTTCCAGTTTCTTTCCGAGCCGACCCCCATCCCACCCCTTTTCTTAACCTCGCAATTATCCAATAGATAAATGTATCGTTTGTGAACGTTCTAACCGTGTATTCACCACATTTCTATAACATTTGCCAAACTGGTCAGCAGATTTTAATTTACTTGCATAGTATTTGATGAATCTAATTCACAAAACACGGAAGGTCAGATTATTTTGAATATTTGAATACCTATTTGAATAGGTTACTTATTAGTAAATTGAATCATTATTTATAGTCAATTACTATTAATAAATGACGTCATTTAGGTGTGAGGGTCTGGCTTTTTTAACTCGTTTAAAAAAACCATGACACCATTTGTGAATGGCCCTTAAGTCAGAAGATTATCAAACTCGTGAGCAAGACAGATACAGTTGTACATGTGAAAAACATGTTTGCGTCTTGTATGCATTACGACAGCATTCATCCGATCGCCGTGAAACTTTGGGAAGCTATTGAGTACAGCCCCGCAAGAGTTTCTGTTATAGACCTAACATTTGTTTAAATATTGTGGTGGCGGCGCCCATCGGAAATATGTGATTTAGCGCCCCGAGATCCCCAGTGATTATCTTTACACCTGGGATCCGCTTATTGTGTGTGCTGCACGGGGAAGTGGGGATTACTACTGAAACCACCAGTGGTAGTGTCATCCTGAGCGCATCACTTGTGAGCAGCCTGGCCCCTATAGTTGTTCAAAAGTGCAAACAACGTTAGGGATAAATCTTGCTACTACATTCGATGACTAAATCTAACCAGGGATTGCACCCATCACCCATGCAGTAATGTAACAGGTGGCCCCACTAGAGTCCCGCGACTCCCCAGACAGGTGAAATGCGTAAACCAAAGCTTACAGCATGCCCAGGTATGCCCATTGGTAGTGTGGACAAACCCGCGTCCTAACTACTAAGATCCAAGAAATGAAGTGCCGACATTGCTCACCTTTATTTAAACTTCTGGTAAACAAGGCACACATCTAAAACTACACGATTGGTAACATTTTGACGCGTAGTTTGGTGTGTTGGACTAGATTTGAAGAGTCTGTGCCTTTCACTTGGAAAACTGTATGGGGCCAGCTCACGTTTTGGAAAACCTGTGATTTATTCCTATACCAGAAGGAAATAAAAATACAATGTGTCCACAAGAATTCGAGTAAATAGCGTTTCACACATTAATGACAAAATTTTCCAAAGTCAAACATCAACGTGAACGTATATAAATTATAACTTGATAGACCAAATCTAAAGCTTATTTATTAATTTTAAATGGCCTCTGATTCCGTTTGTAAGCAGCTGGATCGGGCTATTTGTAAAGTGACGCAGTGATTTCCTTACAAATCGATGGATATAATATTTTTCTTGAATGTCGCGATGAGTCTCAAATCCTGATGTGTTATGTTGGTTTTCAGAAAAGCTAAGTATATCGCGTTACAGCTGTTCTTATCGCAGCTTTCATCTGCGTCCATCATATTTTGAGGAACTGTCCCCCTTTCACCGGTTTTAAAATGTGTATTGCTTGCTGGTTTGTTTTTTTACGAATTAAGATTGCCGGCCCTATCTTTAACCCCAACCTCTAAGGACCAGGGTGCTACCTTTTGTCTGACCCCTACCCACGCAGATCTTAATTAACAGCTTGGTTGAACCAATTACTGGACTGCAGGGAAAATTTCAGGAGACCGATAAATGTGGGGTAGCTTTCTTTGGCGGCCTCATGTCGTTTTATATAAAAAAGAGATGATTGCTCATCGTTTTCACAATGCTCGATCTGTTCAGGAATAGCTGTCGAAATACTGCTGCCGCCGTATCTACGCATCATTGATAAAAGAAAATGTATCACATACTGCTCAAATATTGGTTATGGGCTCTCTATAAACATGATATCCCTCTAATAACGTCGTACTTATAAAATACCCGCTAACAAAAAATACAAGAAGGTGTGCAGCATTATAGTGCGCTATCAGTACACATGTGTATAACGTGTAGGTCAGAGAACATCTGTGTACCACAGTGTCAACATGGTTTATTGATTCTGTAGTGTCTTCTCTAAAATATCTATACAACACTTACACCCCGTTCGCTATGTGTAACCGTAAACCTGATAATTTAGGCATGAGTTTTACAAGAGTTTTCACCAATTCTGATTTGCGGTTAAATTTGCAAAACGGCAGGCGAAGTTGAGCTAATCTTTTTCGGTGTATTCGGCATATGAAGGGATAGAATTGTCAGGACTAGCCCGAGGCGGCTTAATTTTCCTAACGTCGCTAAAGTTATGGACAAGAATGGCACATTATTTTGCCCCGGTCTATGGCCTTGCTACTGCATGGGTCAAGGCAGAGACTAGAATAGACAGCATTTACTACACCATAGGCTAAAATAGACTACGTAACTTCAGTATTTTGCCGTGGTCAAGCATGGTGTGGTCTCGCATTAAAAATCATTCTTCAACTGTCGATCACTTAAGACCCATGTTCATTCCTTCTTCAATCATTAAATTAACGGAAAACGTTTTTGAAGTTTGAATAGGACGTAAAAGTTTTGCTGTTATCTTTGCAAACACATTTCTGGGGTCAAAGTCATTCTTGATGTTTACTCGCCTTTGAAAAGTTAAGAATATTTCTGTAACTCGTGCACATTATGTTTTAAATTGGATTTCAAATAAAATCAAAATTTGAAAAATTATTATTTTAGGTCTAAATAATATTTTGTGGTATCTTAAATTCATTCCTCATCACGTTGCATTTTACTCCTTGTTACAATATCATATTATGGATATTTGCACCGTGCTGTACAAATTCTAGAATGGATGAAAACAATGTCCAATGGCTGACTATGACAGTTAAGACAACCCATTGTAAGTGACTTTAATAACACGATTGCTCTAAAGAATAATTAAGCCAGTTGTTGAATTAAAGATTAAAATTTATACTCGGAAACAAACCTTGAACTCAAGCGAACGATCCTTCTGGTCTATTAATAAATAAACAACAGTTCACTTTGCACTGATGATTAACTGATATGAATACTTATACGAAGGTGAGAGCAATAGAGAAACTTATCTTTATCAGTCCCTTATACTGTCTATACTAAAAGAAAAAATTAATTACACATTGCCATATATTTGAGAATATGATATTTTTAATCAATATAGTTAAACAAAATATTTAAAAGTATATGTTACAAATGTTATCACTTATCCTACATCAATGTTTCAACACACAAAATTCAATGATAGTACTTCTAATCAATACTAATAATTGCTTATTTTAACTTTGATGTCAACCGAAACCAAAAGAAGTTACAATAACATTCAATTGAAAATCCGAATGCGGTTACTGTGTTACTAAAAGAAAATACAATTCATTAGTTGTTTTACATATACTATTGCTATATTATAATAACAAATAAACATGTTTGGCGATGTAAAATGTCAGTGGTTTTTTATTTCTTACTTGCGGTACAATTTAGTCTTTATGGTGTATGACACATACAACATTTTTTCTAGTTATAAACATAAATCATTAAGTACAATACCTCTCTATGATGTCTTCCGATTATATATGATTATACGTGAGCTGGAAATAAATATTAGGTAAATAAAATTATTACTAGCATTAAGACGCATGCACATAACAGTGAGGAATGTTACAAAGTCAACAAATGTATTCAAAGTTGACCATTGGCAAAACTTTTCCCAGCCTAAACCTAAAAATGCACATCGCCAATACCGGGAAAAATAAGTACTAGCATCAAAAGTAACTTGTCAGAAACATTATTATTTTACGAATTTAAAAAAAAAAAACATCACTAATTATTCTCAATAACACTTCTGGTGAAATTACGTCCACACTTTACATCACGCCGACATTTATCTAAGATTACATTTTTATTATTCGTTGTAGAATTATTCGTTGTTTTTTGCAGTTTAACAACGATCAATGTGAGAAAAGACCTCCATACCAACTCTTGTTGCCATTATAAAAAAAAAAATTTTTTTTTTAAAAATTTTCTATATAATAAAGTATAAGTTTATTTTTAAAATTAAATAATTAATATTTGGCTGAATTCAGCCAACTGAATAATGTCCCTTGCACGACTTCTTTCACGGGACACTAAAATAATAGGTTGTGAAGTGGAACTATTTTTTTTTTTTACTTTTTATTTTTTAATTAATTAAATTGTAAGAAATATATTTGTTACTCTAGGTCTAGGATCATGACAAAAACAGAAAGAAAAAAATGCATTTTAAAAAAATTAAAATATAAATTATTCTTTTTTTAACAGTGCCTTTGGTGATACAATTTAATATAATGGACTATGTATAACATATAAATAATAAAATACTTTATATATTTTTATCTTTAAATGCATGTTTTAAATAAAAAAAAATTATTTTAAAAAAAAACATAATTTACTATTTGAAAATATAAACCTATTATAAATCAAACAAAAAAAGTAAAAAAAAACAATATTAAAACCAATAAAAAATATTGCTATAGCCTACAACAGTGCATATAAAACACATACAAAAGTAATATTATTGTTTCCGGCGTTCTGCAGTTAACATATTTTGTTATTTTTAAGCGGAGTTTATAATCTAAATTATTATACTTTTCCAAAGAAAATTTATGAGAGGAAATCTTACTTTGATAACAGTTAAAATAACTAACCAATTTAACAGATAGTAGAAATTAAAAAAAAAACATTCAAATTTAAATTCATAGAATATAACATTTTAATTCATTATAATACGTAAGGAAGTCGGAATAATTTTTAAAAAAGATAAATATTTTATAGACTTTTAAATATGTTTATACTATCTGTGAGAGATGACACAATTTATTTCTAGATCATTCTCTAAAAAAGATTAAGAATAACTGTCCCGATTGACAGGAAGAGTATATGAATAATCGAATATAACATTAAAAAATGACAGTATTTTTTTAGTATGACAGGCCAAGACAGCCCAACAAAACCATAAAGAAAATCACGCCTTGACCTACAGCTGTATGTAGCTGGGTCCTGCTACATCCAGTATCTCATGGCTTGATGTCAACATCCCTTTACTTTCTTCCTTGTGGAGCTTCTGTTCTAAAAGTCTCTGCTCTAGCACATGTCTTTCTATTTTCATTCTCAGTTTCTCTTCTCTTTCTCTCATTCTCTGTTCGTGTTTTTGTTTCTTCAATTGCATTTCCACATAATGTTTCTCTGTTCTTTGCTTTAGTTTTTCTTCTTTCTCTCTCATCCAAAGCTTGTGTTTTTCCAGTATCATTTTTCGTTCATCTACTTCCAGTTCATAAATCTCACCAAACCGTCGTCTTTTATTTAAGTTTCTACATCCGTGTGTAACCTGTGTAGATGGATGAGAATTTCTTTTCCTTTCTGTGTCAGCGAAATCCTCTGTCTGAGGCCTGTTAGTGTTAACAAAATAAAAAGTTTATTTGAATTTATAAGAAAATAAAATTAAACGGTCTAAAGCACTAATTTTAGATAAATTAATGAGTTGGTGACCCATAAGAAATCCTGTCACGCCACCCTTAAGTCACGTCTCATAGAGTGGGAACCAGTAATGTAAATTATCAACTGTCTGACAGATCTAATTATTGTTCAATTTAAAAATTTAAATTAAATTACTGAGGCTCCATCTCGATGTTCTGGTTTTGGATTCTGTCTGTGGCCTCTTCTTGAGCTTGGACATCCGTACCTGTGTGTGAAAAAATGCAGGTCAATTAGTGTATCGCCCTTTTTGTACACACTTATCAACGTGAAAAAAACGACCTAGTGGGTCTAATAAAATATCTCTACTATTTAAGACGTGGTGTAATTTATCTGTCATCCAACAACAACAAATCAATTCAACAATATAACAGCTAAGTAGATGGTGCTAGTACCTCACACAAGTCATTTCTTAATACATTTTGTGAATACTAGATATAATAACATACTTACCGTAAAACAGTTGCTGGGTAAGCTCTCGATTCTCGTTGAAATTTGCTGTAACTGAAGTACATGCAAAGGCGATAATTAGAAACCAGAATAAATTTGTATTGTATATAGTATATACATAAAGTGAAACAATTGCGTTAGGCTAACCAGGGTAGGGTAAAGAGGATGTCGATTATGATATTTGCTGGGACTTAGGTAAAGTTGACTAAGGCATAAGGGAATGTAAAATATGGCATGTGGATTTTATTTAGGGCAGGTTAATGTTAGCTAGGGCTTGTGGATATTGGCTATGCCATAAAGTATGCAGTGTAGGGTATGATATTTTATATACTGTATAAACTTGTAACGTTTTAATAAATCATGGTATCTTGTTATCCAAAAAATATTTTAGATCTATACGTTTATACTTATAAATATATTTTAAGAAATTATTTTGGGCTTAAGTTCAATAAAGCCTTATGATGAGCTCTACATATTTATCGTTTTAAAATATTTCATTAATCAATTTCGGATATACTTTTACCTTCAACTGGCAAGTTTGAAGATGTTACATCATCATCCATGTTGTCTTCACTGTGACGTTCCGTCGATTCATGGTGACCTGTTGAGAATAGCGAGGACTAAAAACATGTTCTTCAATTATACGCTTCAACGAGCATATTTGTCTAAAAACAGGAATGAAAACATTTTCTTTAATTACGCATTAACGATTATATGTCTCTATAAACATCTCTAAACAATTTATACTATAATTATATAAAATACATAAATAAATAAATAGACATACCATATTCTACTGCATCCCTTTCTTCTTCGGATACATTTGCAGGTAAATTGACACCTAAATACACACAATTTAAATCTAGTGTTTGATTCCATTATCAATAGTTTCCTCTATATTAATAAATTAATAACAAAAATTAAATCCTTTAAAGTCAAGGATATATCAACATAGCATTTTTAATAGATATATTTGCTAATGTTTTAAGCTTTATCTCAAAAAAATGTTACCTTCATTGTTGAGGCTGGAAGACGGCTGAAAACTGTCGCTATTTGTTCCATCAACCACTTCTGTAACTTCATCTGGCTCTGTTGTATCCCCAGTGTTTAATTCAGACTCAAAAAGATCCTTAAAGTCTACAAAATCTTCAGGACAAATATCAAATATTCTTCTAGTAAAACCAGAAAGTCTACTGCCATGAGGGTCTCTCTTTGCCCTTTTCATGTCTTGTTTAGCCAAAGATTTCATCCTCTGATATTGTTCTTTCACTTTCTGTAGGTCACGTGACGGGTATTTTGCTCTATGTTCTTGTGTGACGTCATCCCAGACTTGTTTTACTTTTTTCTTACATTCGCTGGTTCGTCCTTTACATTCTATCTCTCTCTTGTGTCTCTCTATCAGTGAGAGAAGTTCGTTTTTTTCTTCGTCTTTCCAGTTCTCTGTTCGTGTTTTTTTACGTTCAACTGGTGGATCTAGTTCAGCTGTAGGAGACATTAAACAGGCAAATAATAATCAAATAAAATTCATTTTACGTTATTTATTACATAAAAGTAGTTTTAAATATATTATGGAATATTCCAGTCTAAATAACAAGATATAAAACAACGTCAAAATACGCATATAATAAAAGCCTATAATATCAGGTAAAAAGGATTTAATTCTATAATGGCGTTAATATACATATTTCATGAAATATAAAGTAAATACGTTGAAAAATGTATTGTAAAACTTATGATTATAGAGAGATATTGCGACCGAAGGGATGAATTTTATAAAAGAAACATTAATCATTAATATCCTTACATACGGAAAAGCTTACTAGATGTTGAAGTAGACGCTGGGCAAGGAAGATATAAAACTTCTATTATTTTTCTACCAAGTTTTATGAGCAATTTTTTCAGCAATGGCAGCAACATGATGTAGACATTTCGTCAATATTTTATTGTTAGCCAGTCTTCCAACTCAGGTCTTGATGACATGTTCCTACCACCCAACGCGATCCTATATCCCCCAGGTAACTCTTTTTTTTACTTTGCTCACCTCACCCATCTCCTTTGAGTTGCTACTTGCTTCGCTTACCCCATCCATCAACTTTGTGTTCGTACTGAAGGCATTTCTTGGCCTGCTATTTAGTTTTTACCGAGTTATCTCAATGCGTATCCATCTTGTTAAACTAGTCGTCAAGTTTCCTCAATACAGCGGATGTAGTGTTATTTTAATGTATATTTGGATTTCAATATCTTCAACTATTTATGTAACTATAAAAAAGCGAGGGTCTCTGCCTATTAACACTAATAGTTTCGCTGTCTGTCTATGTATCTATCTGTCTGACAAGAACGCTCTAGAGAAAACACAAGCAAATTAAAAACATGCATAGTAATTCGAAAAACGAAGTATGACGCGGTCACATTTAGCATAGAGTAGAAAATAATCTCAAGCCGGAGAGTACACACAGTAATATGACGTCATTGATTCTCGAGTAAACATTGAATAAAAAGGCAATTTTGTCTAATCTAAATGGTTTGCTGTGAAGAGTTTCTTGCACACAATTCTTCGGGTAGGGGCGAAGCCCCATCCCGGCTTAAGAACATCTGAGCCCCCCCCCCCCCCTCCCCAACTCAAAAGAAATGTCTTCATCGATACTCTATAATAAAATTACCGCCTAATTAATGTGTCTAATCTAAAAAGTGGTTTTCTTGCAATTTCTTTAGTGCAATTCTTTGGGTAGTGGCTAAGCGCGACACCAGTGTTTCTTTCAGACTTTTTCCTCCCCGGAGAGGGGTGGGGGTACTTGAAATTTTCGGGGGCGGGGGTAGAATTTTCGGGGAGGGGGCGGACACTGGAAAAAGTATATAATTATATTTCGTTGAATGAGACGGGAGACATGTTTTTTTGGGGGTGGGGGGGTGGTGTGTGTGTGGGGGGGGTGGGGGGGTGGGGGGTTTTTAGTTTAGAGAAAAGAGACAGCACTATCAGCCTAGCGCCCGTTGTACCCTTCCTCAACGGGCCATTTTTCTCGTTAATACTAATAGTTTCGCTGTCTGTGTATCTATGCATCTGACAAGAACGCTCGAGAGAAAACAAAAGCAAATTAAAAACATGCATAGTATTTCGAAAAACGAAATATGACGTCGTATAGTAGAAAATAATCTCAAGCCGGAGAGTGCACACAGTAATATGACGTCATTGATTCTCGAGTAAACATTGAATAAAAGTCAATTTTGTCTAATCTAAGTGGTTTGCGTGAAGAGTTTCTTTCATACAATTATTCGGGTAGGGGCGAAGCCCCACCCCCGCGTAAGAGCGTCTGAGCTCCCCCCCCCCTCCCCAACTCAAAAGAAATTTCTTCATCGATACTCTATAATAAAATTACCGCCTAATTAATGTGTCTAATCTAAAAAGTGGTTTTCTTGCAATTTCTTTAATGCAATTCTTCGGGTAGTGGCTAAGCGCGACACCAGTGTTTCTTTCAGACTTTTTCCTCTCTTCCGGTAGGGGCGAAGCCCAGCCCAGATTATTCCTATAGTTTATATGATCTACAAATGCGACCAGTGTTTCTTTCAGACTTTTTCCTCCCCGGTGAGGGGTGGGGGATACATGAAATTTTCGGGGGCGGGGGTAGAATTTTCCGGGAGGGGGCGGACACTGGAAAAAGTATATAATTATATTTCGTTGAATGGGACGGTAGACATGTTTTGGAGTGTGTGTGTGGGGGGGGGGGGGGGGTGGGAGGGGGAAGAAGCCCCCTCCTCCCAAGTAAAGTTGCCTGAAAGAAACTCTAAATGCTACTTTTATCATGAATGAGATTAGGTACATGGTTTAGGGATATGTCTATGACTATATTTTGTATAAATTAAAGTACCGAGAAAATAGACAGCACTATCAACCTAGCGCCCGTTGTATCCTTCCTCAACGGGCCTTTTTTCTTGTCCTAAATATTAGTAAAGGTATCCAGTACATAATCTAGTGACCCACGCTTTTCTTTATAGTTATTTATTATTCGTTATTTTGTTTTTGTTCTTTATGGTCTTTTTCAATTAAAAATCTGAATTTACTTTTACAATAAAAACCGTTATTGCCTTGTACGTGCACTATAACAACGGATCGAACAGTGTTTTTGTCATATCTGCTATCCAATCGTTTATATGTATGTGTCATTACTTGTAAGTCAAAAACATATTTCAGGTGGGTAAATCTCTCTATTTGCTCAGGCTAGTCATGTTCAGGTATAATATATAGATCTTGCTTACTACATTTAATTGGTACGTTCTATGAACATCAGTATGTTGACCCGTATTTTTTTATCCTGCAGTTGTTTTATGTGTTCAAATAAAGGGCCACGTCATTGACGAAGTCCGAAATGTCAATTGCCGAATGATCTTTCCACGCAGAGTTTCTTCCAGGCATCTCTTCGGGGGGTGAAGCCCCCCCCCCCCCCCCGAAAAATTTTTACCGCCCCCCCCCGAACGAAATGAAATTTATATAATTTATATAGAAAATATATACTTTTAACAGTGTCCGCCCCCCCGAAGAAAGTTTACCGCCCCCCCCCCCCGAAGATTTCAAGTGCCCCCCCGGAGAAAAAAGTCTGGAAGAAACACTGTTTCCACGAATCATAAGGCCAACAATTTAAAATTAAACTAAACGACCCTTTCTCTAGCCCGACTTTGTAATCTATCTCTGTTTTGTTTGGCGTGCATTTGCTTGGTTGACTGTCCTTTATGTTAAGACAAGTAATTATTTT